ACATGCTAAAGTTGTTTTATCCTAGCTAATAAACTGCCTAATGACATGTTAGTTGTTTTATCCTAGCTAATAAACTGCCTAATGACATGCTAAAGTTGTCTTCGACTGATCGAGTATTTAAGAATAAGTTGTTTTTATTTGTTTAATTGGAACATGCGATATTTTACCTATGACAAGGCAAAACCATCGTTATAAAATAGTGAAAACCTTCCATTCTTGACTCCTTTTTTATCCAAATCAAGCAGGTGATGATTTGTCATGTGGTCTGAAATTCAAATGATTTATCATTCAGCTTACGCTCATACCTTTACAGCTCATGGCATTTCACTTCAATATGGAATATGGTTATCACGAACTGCAAAGACAGCCTGACATCAATGATGCATACTTAAAATCAGGGTGTCGGTCAAGCTGTGGCTGAAGTCGCTTCTCCAACTTTTCTTAACGAACACATGATCCAGTTTATACAGCGGAAGCAACCGTTATTATCCATTACGCTGACTACACCAGTATCTGGTAGCACAAAAGGTGATAAGATGTGGTATTAACGGTAGCAGGATTTAGAGTTGGTATTCTACCAATGCTTATTTCCAATGCATTTTCTTCTTGTACGAAAATGAGCTGAAACTGGTTTCATATTCTGCCCAAATGGGTATGCGCCTATTATCTGGCAATACCAGTCTGCAATAACAGTCAGCCTTGTAAAAATCTGTTTGTCAGTCGTGTACATTTATACAGCATCAAGTTGCGGCTGCGAACATCTGAAACACCCAAATGTTTTTTTGAGGTCTAAGCACAATGTATGACAAATTTCGAGCACTTTAAGTTCTGTGTTTCACTTTCAAATGTCAAATGATACAAGTTTTTGCAAGATTATATCGTACACTATAAGGTGAATACCAAAACATTTGCATTTCAGTACAAACGACCGATCGTCGAAAGCATGATTTGCACGACAAAGAAGTGAGGAGAGGTGAATTTTTACTTTGTCTTAGATATGGTATTATAAATTCCGATTGTCGTTCAATTGTTTTATGCAGTGTATTTGGTGGTAACTTTTTCTAATTTTGGCATCATACTGACCACATATATGACACTTTAGGCGACTTCAACTAAACACTGAAGTTCAATTTTTTTAGGCCAAACATGCTCGCCCTTTCAGCCGTGGGGGCGTTATAATGTGACGGTCAATCCCACTATTCGTTGGTAAAAGAGTAGCCCAAGAGTTGGCGGTGGGTGGTGATGACTATCTGCCTTTCCTCTAATCTTACACTGCTAAATT